TTTAGTGAGGTGTTATCTTTCTTCTTCAATTGTATCTGCAGTACATATACGGTTACAAACATTTAACCAACGCCTTTTTATACTGTAGTGGACAGAAACTATGGTAATTTAGGTACTGTCCCGTCCATGTGGACTTTATGTAGACAGATCTTATTTACTGACCCATCTTCTCGGCGGGTTATTAGTACATCTAAAAATGGCAGGCAACCATTATTCTCTTTAAGGTTGTCTGTAATTGGTGTCTATTCTTTACTGTTGGGCACTTTGTGTGGCCTTTTCTGAACTACTTAAGAAGGTACTGAGTACTGAGTTTGTTATCCTGTCTCTAGTTGTCCGCCCTGTACGTAGCTCTCTCTGTTGGACCAGCTAAACTTCTAAATGCACACAGAGAAGTGTTGGACCTAGTTGGCCAGCTTATATTTCGCTTGAGCGATTATAACCGATCTTTTGGAAAAAGACAAACAGAGGGTGGCAGCATCAGCAAAAATTCTGTCTGACGGTTCTAGTTAGTCTGAGGTGAAGGACATCAACAACAACACGACTTCAGGAAAAAAGTGTTTCTTCTTTAACTATGATGAATTTCTCTTCGCTATACGCATTACTCATGTTTCTTCCTATATATTAACTGGGATAACTCATTCGGATAATCACGTTGTGGTTGTATACTAATGCATAATTATATTTCAGTAGTTTACACACAATGATAAGTTTTGTTATCGGTAATATTTCGAGCAAAATTACTGCCCGTGTTCACACCACTGTTGGAATTGTTTTATTCACACATTTATGATTTGTACACATATATATAGTTCATTATTTTTGCTCATTCCTGTTTTTTGTATTTAAGTTATATTCTACGTTCATTCATGTTTTTGTATTCAGAATTATATTCCAAGTTGCTGATAGTTGTACTGAGTCACCCTTGTTACATGTATCTGGTGTGACTTTAATGAATATCGATTCTGTTATAAGTCTTTCTTTCCATTTGTTCATGTTAGTTTTTAGAATACACACATTGTTCCAATCGATATTGTCTTTTTTTGTCCCATGCATGTGCAGCTATCGATAAATTTTTTTCAAGATTTTTGTAGGTTTGTGTTCCTGTTGGTTGACCTTTGGTTAGGCGTTTATGCTCATTCACTCTTATTTTGAGTGATCTGGACGTTTGATCCACATATTTAGTCGGACAGTCGGCACAGGTTACTTTGTAAATCACATTGTTTTCATCTATCATTTTTATGGGATCCTTCAGTTGATTTATTTTATTTTTGATTAGATTTGTCGGTTTGAACGTTGTGTGAATGCCGATTTTTTGAGGTGTCTTTGAATTGCCTCTGATGTATCATTTTTATATGGTATTGTAACTGTTTTTTTGCATTCTTCCATCTTGTTATTCTCCGGTTTTACCCTCTTTTTTCTCTTTTTTATATTATCTTTTATAAATTCTTTTGGGTAGTTGTTTTCGAGTAGCATTTCGAATAGGACGTTCATTTCTTTACACTGGTCCTGTGGCGTTGTTGTAAGTCTACGTATTCTATCTGCAAGGCCTCGTATTAATCCTCGTTTTACCGTGAGTGGATGAGCTGAGTGATAATCAAGGAGTCTTCCAGAGTTTGTGGTTTTTCTATATAGCGTCGTTTTAGTGCTACCATCTGTTATTCTTTGTATTTTGCAGTCTATGTTAGACTGCAAATATGTGGGGCAAACGTCTAGATCACTCAAAATAGGAGTGAATGAACATAAACGCCTAACCAAAGGTCAACCAACAGGAACACAAACCTACAAGAATCTTGAAAAAAATTCATCTATAGCTGCACATGCATGGGACAAAAACAACAATATCGATTGGAACAATGTGTGTATTCTAAAAACTAACATGAACAAATGGAAAGAAAGACTTATAACAGAATCGATATTCATTAAAGTCATACCGGATACATGTAATAGGGGTGATTTAGTACAACTATCAACAACTTGGAATATAATTCTGAGCAAAAATAATGAACTATATATGTGAGTACAAATCATAAATGTGTGAATAAAACAATTCCAACAGTGGTGTGAACACGGGCAGTAATTTTGCTCGAAATATTACCGATAACAAAACTTATCATTGTGTGTAAACTATTGAAATATAATTATACTTTATTTGATCTAATCCACAATGCTCGCCTATGTCTTGTTTTAATTTTATCTATGAGAATACTTAATGATTCCACTCAGTGTTTTACTGATATGAACAACGGGATTTATTCAAAACCAAGCGAAATATAAGAGTCCGGTATCTGTAACTGTAACGGAATGATTGTTTGGGAAACCGCTGTCCTAACCGATCTAATTATAATTATTATAATATTCAATGTGACATTCCATCTAACTTTGTAATTATTCTCCGTTTTTGCTTTAGACTGTATGCCATTGTCTTAACATTCGCCTGCCATCCGTTGCCTTGATTCTCATTATTTGTCTTTGTTCCTGTATAATCTTTTATCTCAGAGCTTCTCTTTGTGAATGAGATCAAGGTTCACGGTGTGAATTTTGACCTTGGAGTGTTTGCTGGGATTGTTTGGTGCATGGCTGTTTCTGACAGAGTTTCGATCCCGCCTTGTTGGCAATATTCTTCTAGATTCTCAGTTACTTCTTACAAGTTGTACAGTGCTTAGTTTGTAACTGATAGTGAATTCGATGTGTAACGCTGCCTAACGGTTTTTGTTGAGGTAATATTACGCTCTTACTACGTTATCATTGTTTAGTAGTACTTCCGGTTTTATCGCAAATAACTGTCGTTTCACTAACGTCGGAACAGGTCTGCACTGTGTCTTCCTCGAGGAAGTTTTTCTCAGCTATACAGCAGAACGCCAGGATTCGCTTCCTACGTTTAGACAATAACACGTCATTTTCAGCCGACACAGTGACTGCGTGTGTGTCTAAATGATAAACTTGGATCATATAAGTAGATTATATGAAGGATAAAACGGCTGGTTGCAAACAGAACTGATTTTGAGAAAGAGAAAATGTTTATTAATATGAATTAGTAACACACCACCACCACCACAGAGTAAAATTTTCTCAGTTTATGAACACTCCATGTCCGCTGTGTTTTTCATTCATCTTTTGCACCTGTGACAAAGATGGAGGCATATTAATGCATAGTAGTGGATTGACACAATTTTCAAGAATCAATTTGCAGGCAATTGACTTGTTTCATGTTTGACCACGGATTGATATCGGTTAAAGAACCACTGGAAACCACATGAAAGTGCCGGATAGCTAGCTGTTTCGACATGGTTTTGGCCTCATCATCAGTACACAAACCATTGTGGTTCGAACCCAGGACCCTTTGGTAAACAAGCGGAACTCGTTGATCATTCATCTCCAGAAGCCAGCCCAGCAGTCAGTCTGTGAATTTTAAATTCTACCAGTCCGTGATTTTCACTCACGACAACCGGTTACTCTCACTGTTGAATATCTGTCCTCACTGTCGACTGGGTGAACACCATTGGTCACGACTACTCACTTTAGAACTCTAGACAACTTCGTCCTGCAGCCAGTCATCACTGACCATTAGATTAATTTTCAAGAATCGAGCATTTGATTTTAAGTGATGGTCACACAAAACATCATGAAGTGTTGGAAGTGAGAATTCATGAGGTAGATTGGCTGGCCAGATTGACTTGTAACCGGGAGGTGTTAGGTAGGGACCTCGGGCGATGCATACCGCAGATGAGCATCAGCCTAGGATGAAACAGCCAGCTGTTTGGTACTCCCGACTGGTTTTTTCATTGTTTCTCTCACTGCTGGCAATACGTGGTCAAACTTGATACAAGTTTGTCAATTTCAGAAAGTAATAATCTACTGTTGACACTAGTGACTGGCTCACTCGGAGATGGCGTTGCCTGGAGTTGTAGTGTGGGTGGGTAGTCATGTCCGATGGGGTTCACCAAGTCAGATGTGGGGATACTCATTGAAGCATTTGAAGTGGGAATAGGGGTAAGAGAATGCTAACAGCTGTCAATGATCATCTTCGTGGTCGTGCGTGACTGGATTGTGTAGCAGACTGTAAAGAATGAGAAGATGGAAAATTCAGGTTACACAGAAGATTTATGTCTTGTTCTCGAACAGACTCAGCTTTGAATGTATACGTAAGCGACAGGTTGAGAGAAGCATCAGTAATATGATTTCAGGCAAACTTAAGGGAGATACGATAGTTGACGATAGCCAGCTAACGATAACAATCGACAATCACCATCAAAGAGAGAAATCTAAAAGAAATAGTTGCTGTCATTAGGGGGAGCAGGATTCTTTCAACCGCAAGAGGGATGGACAGCGATTCCGAAACGCGAATCAGAAAGACGAGACAGAACTTCATTACTCAAAGGTTAGTTTGGAAGTCTACTGCACTGCTCAGCGTAGACAACATGATTCGAAATATTAACATCATTGTTAAACCAAATCTTCTGCATGTGTCAGGAATTCGCAGTGCCAGGAAAAGAATTTCCAACAGGCTACTACAGACGTTTATAAACAGCTGCCTTTATCACCACCATATTGAAAATCAGATGACCAGTTAGGAGGGATCAGCGATGAGGAGCTCTGTCATTCAACAAACTGATGAGAACCTATTGCTCAACAAGTATTCTGAGAAAAATGGGCATGAATTAGATGTACTCTGAGGAGACCCCTGACTGACATCACGCACATCGAACGGCCAAGTGGAATCTGAATTGGAAGAGACATGTTGGCCTGGCTCCTTAGAGTGAAATTGAGAAGATTATACTAGGAGGAAATGAAACATTGTGGTGGTCAGTTTAGAATGCTTACAGATGCCATGAACCCGGGTCACTAGAGAATTACACATCTCAGGCTTTATATTCCCCTTAGAATTTAAGGAATGCATGAGTGAATAATAATGATAGTAATGATACTAATAATTGCGAGGCAGTTAAATATTTATCTCACAACAAAATGAATTGCAAGCAAATGGCCTCTGAATCACTTACCAAAGTCATGAGAAGCCTCTTGTACCATTGCATCGAGAGCTGTAGTCACAATATTCAAGGGTGACGGTGCTAAACATATATGCATTCATTATTATATGAGTGAAATTTGAATGAACTTACTGTGAAACCTGTCGATTCTGTGCTTCTCAACCTTTTCTACTTCAGAAATCAGTTGAACTAAACATGCAGAATAATGTCAAGGAGAAATATTAATTGAGCGGATATCTAACAGAAAACTGGTGAATGTTTGAATAGCGCGTTGACTATTTCTCCTCCTTCTTATTGTAAAGTTTGTGTCTGGATTCTATGAATCATGACAAGAATAAATGTCACGTTATGGCTGGAGGCTTTCGGTGGGAAGAAAGCTATGCCTGACACTCAGGTGTCCTGCATGTTGTGTTGGCTGGCAGTCAGTCAACACTCAGCAATGAATGAACAAATAGTTTCTCTTCTGAGATTCCATCCCTCGGTCACCTAAAGCTACCTGCAGTCAAAGATGTGATCACTGAGCTTTTCAGGCTGGCGATCCAGCTTGTGTTACAGAGTAGTGAATACTTTGACTGGACACTGCGTAGAAATTATTGTGACACGTCTAGTTCTTGTTGCTGGTGCACAGTGGATTTTATTAATCAACTCTGTAATGTGACCATCATGTCAGGTAGCTCAAGTGGGTGTGAGCAATAGAGATGAATTCAAACATCTAAATGATACATTAAAGCCAAACTGAAAATGTACTCAACACATGATAATGATACGCTTATTGCATGTACGAGTATGATAATCAAGCAGATGATCGACTCAAGCTATTTAATTCAGTTCATGCAAATGTCACAGACGCAGAAGAGGATCTACGGGCACAAGGCGACGAGCTGGTGGAAGAGGCATGTAGCGTAAACAAGATATCAAATAAGCATGGAGAGAATAGCGGTGAAGAAGATAACCAACTAAACATCACCACCAGCAGCAACGAGACCAACAGGAAACACCAATCACTGTCAGTTGGGGAAATTTGAAGGAAGTTGCTTCTTTCATTTATCTCGACAGTCAGCATCTTTTCAGCTACACTTAGTTGGCACGGATGGAGATGTCAAAGCTGGTCAGGTTCGGAGTCGAAAGGCAGACCTCCATTACTCTGAAGTCACTTTGGAAATCTTCTGCACTAACCACAAAGAACAAGATTCGGGATTTCAGTGGTACTGTCAAGTCGTTCAGTTCTTCTTCACAGTTGAGAGACTTGACGTGTTATCAAAGGAATTTCCGACAAGCTACTTCAGACTGTAACCAACAAACAGACCGCTACGTTCGCTCACTCCATACTGAAGATCAGATAGTCTAAATGGATTAGCGAAAGGAAACTCTAGCAATGAACCAATCAAGAACTTGTGGCGAAACAAATAGACAGAGGAAAATGGAAATGGATTGGACACATGCTGAGGAGACAGTTTTTAGTGAAATAATACGCCATGGCATGCGTAAAATGGAATGCATGAGTCGAGCATCTGAAGGGGATATTGGGGAGATGGTGTCAGGAGTGAACGAAGGCGTATGGACAATCGTGCAGTCAGATATAGAAGTCGTGACCAGTAGGGTGCAGCAGGTCGGGTGTGAGGACAAATACTCGCCGAAGACATTGGCTAGGGGTCGCGCTATGTTGTGAATTGGCAGAAGTTGGAATTTATGGGCTAGCCAATGGATCAGGTCCCAGTGGCTTAATGGCATGCGAGCTCGCCTTGTAACCAGAAGGTCCTGGGTTCGAATCCCGGTGGGTGTGTATTGCTGAAGAGTCCCAAACTAAGACGAAACAGTTGTCCAGTACTCTCAAGTTTTCTAATGGTTCTCTAACTAATGTCAGCTCATGATGAAAATCCTGTAACCAATCAAATCCCTATAAACCAACACTTAGATATAGAAAAACCTTAGTAAAGAGAGTCAAATGGAGATGATTTAGACCTGAGTCTTTATGAGAAATGAAGATGGCTCTAAATCATCAAGTGGAATTTATCATACATCGACTTGGACATGTCAATATTTACTATTTTGACAGCTTCTGTCCAATTTCATTACAATAGAACTCCAGTCAAATTGGGATATGAGAATGCCTGAAATTTTATTCATTCACTCATTTACCTGTACTTGCAGCATTATTTACATGGGAAGAACTGAGAGCGTACATACAAACAGGATTTCTGAACATGTACACGAATGATTGTGATTGGGTGGAAGACTGTGAGGTAGCCTTCCGAATGGTAAAAAGACAGCAGTAGTAGATTACTACGATATACAGAAGCAGCAGCAATCCAATACTTTGAGGCCTAATTTATGTGTATAGAAGGATTTTGTGATCCACCTTGGACTGTCCTGGGAATTCGTTGTTTCTTCACTTACTATTTCATTGTTTGTACCATCTTGTAACCTTGCTTAAAAAGTTTGTTCACCTTTCTATCACTTTTCACCACTCACTATGTTTATCATAATTTTTGACATAAATAAACCACCAACAGCCACAGCAACAACAACAGACAGCAATCAGCATAAATGGAAGGAACCTGAAAGAAACTACCTCCTTTACCTACTTGGGAAGCATTGTTTCAACTACAGGCGGATGGAACTGACGAGGATATCAAAGCAAGGATCGGAAAACCAAGGCAAGCTTTCACTACTCTCAAGTCTGTGTGGAGGTCAACAGCACCCAATATCAAAAATGAGATCCGGATTTTCAACTCCAATGTGAAGTAAGTCAGTGCTACAAACGGATCAGAGACTTGCACTGCGCGTCATGAAGAACATCTCAAACAAACTACAGACCTTCATTAACAGTTGTCTTCGCTCAATACTCAAGATCAGATGACCAGAAAAGATCGGCAACAGGGATCTCTGGGAGCAAACCAACACAGCAGGAACCGATTGTGAAACAAACAGATAGGAAGAAATGGAGATGGATTGGCTGGCCATACTCTGAGGAAACCACCAAGTGACATCACTAGACAAGCCATTGCTCGAGTGGAACCCGAAAGGGAAGCGACGAGTTGGTCGTCCAAGGGTGACCTGGAGGAGATCATGTGAAGAAGAATTGAAAGCGTATGGGCAGACTTGGAGCCAGGTGAAAACTCTAGCAGAGAACCGAACTCAATGGAGACGCATGGCTGAAGCCCTATGTTCCTCTAGGAACTAAAGGAAATAATATAATATATATATATATAATAAGCAAATGGCTTAACTTCTAGTATTTATTCTGCAGGGATTCGACTTATTCCAAGTTTGAATCACGGATTGATATCAGTAGGAGAACCATTGAAAAGCAGCGGGGAGTACTGGTCAGCTAGATGTACATTCCTAGTTTAGGACTCATAGACAGTGTGCACGCATTAACTCACCTGTCGATGGGCGGAGCAAGGATCTACAGGTCATGGCCCTCACTAGTGATTGACTACTAGATGAAGTTGACTGGAGCTCTAATGACAAGTCGAGGTGTCCGGACATATACTCGTCTACGACATTAGCTGGCGATTGCGATAAAATCACGAAGTGATACATGTTGGAATTCAAGGGCCGTTGAATTGCGGCCTCTATTGGTTTAGTGGCTAACGAGCTTCTTCCCATCACCTGCAGGTCTTTGCTTCAATCTCCAGTGGTATTGTGGTAGCACACTGAATAATAGTTCCGAGATAGGAAGGAGCAGCCGTTTCCGTGCTCCTCTACCTAATATCAAACCATGATCAAACTTGAAGCAAACTTGAAATCCATGCAGAATGACTATTGAATATTCGGTTATAATTTCATCCTCTCGAAACTTCCTTCCAAATACGATGCAAAAGCTTTTCAACATGTGTTATGTGGGTGAAGTTCTGTGTGCCCTGAAGATCTGCACACAGGTCTTGTTTGTTTAAGTCTGCATTGTGATGTCAGTCAGTATTTTGAATTGCTTAACATGAGAGGGTAGGAGGATTGGAAACACACAATTTTCTGCTTACCAAGAGCGTGCCCGAATTCAGACTTCGGTACATTTTTCCAATCTGATTTCTTCAATAACATTTTGACAGCTGAGAAAAAAATATGAGAATATTGATAGAAATTGTTAGCAGGCACAATGGATTAAAGAAGGTGAAGGGATTCAAATGCAATGAGGTACAGGAGACTTTTATTTTGCATGGCTTGAGTTCTAAGTGGAGCATGTAGCTGTAGGGAACTTGAAATCTTGACGTTTCAGAAGCTGAGGCGTTGTTTTAACGGCGTACTTTTGTTAGCCTCAGACGCAAGTTTGCTATGCGCATTTACATTAGGCGATGTTTAAGTTTACATTGGGAGTGTCTCGAACTCATTGCAAGGATTCCACCGCTGAACCTCTGACGCAAGTGGATGCACGCGAAATATGTTTCATATGCACTAAGAGGGTACTATTCAGTAAATAGATGGATGTGGGATAAGTTTACATCACTACTTGACATCAGTTAGAGAACTAGTGACATCTCGTAGATAGTGAACAGCTGCTTTGTTGAAGAAAGATATGAGTTGCATATTATCAAAGAATTGGAAATAAAGTGTTTTCCAGCACTGGGTTCATTTTGTTAGAGCCAGCTGATGAGTCATTGTTAAGGAGTACAAAATATATTCATCGGTGATTACTCGAACTTCGCAAACGATTTTTCTTCAGTGTCACAAACAATCGAACAGTTACAGTTAACAGTGCATTTTACACAAAAGTGGAAGATGGAGAGGGCGTAACTTTGAGTAAACATAGAGGATACGGAAGTGATGAAGATAACCAACCAATGGAATGTGTGTATGGATAGATTTAACGGTGAATGGATGAACAACAGCACTTTGAGGTGCATGAAAGTAATGATTTCTTGTCGGTTGAACAGTACAGATGCTCCCACATCAGTGACGACTAATTCGAACTGAATATACCCAGTTTCATTCACACTTGCATATCTGTCACAAGAATATTTTATGGTAACAAACGGGAAATACAGATGTCACATCACACCATAAACAATAAATTGAGTTTATTGCAGATTGCGACAATGTCTGATGATGTTGCTGATTTTGCTCGTCAGTTGACGCAGCCATTTGTCAATTAGAAAATAAACTGGGACTTACCAGTTACATTGGGTTGCATTCCTGACATTCGCAAACATTCCTGCTCAACTTTCTCTGGACGGATAGAAATGAAATGAAGCAAACTTCAAGATAATTTTAATCAATTAGATGAAGTGAAATTGCTGTTCTCCGTGCACACATATCATCGATCATTCTCAGCACACACATAAACACTTTACGTGGAAAGCAGGTGCAAGTGCGACTGATTATTCATCATGCCTGAGTAACTACTTACTCAGTTAATGTAGTCAATATGAGAGTAGAACTTAGGAGATATATTAGGATTATAGATCCACGTTGGATGAGCGTTTTTTGTTGTATTTGTGTTCACTGAGCTGGATAGTTTGGCTGAGGAGCTTTCATTGCCTTACTAAGCACTGTCCTCAGTCACTGGAGTGTCCTCTCACCAACCCACGAATGACTACCACAAATCATCGCTTCTGCATGATTCAAAATATCAAAGTGGAAAACGTGTTTGAAATTTAACATTTGTTCAAATATTTGTTTACCTCTTGATTTGATAAATTCCTTTTCAATAATTTTTCCCCAGTCTTCTACGGTAATGTGTTCATCTAGTGGAGAACAGAGGTCAATGCTAATGTGAGTGTCATTTCAATATTTCAAGTTTATCTTTCTCTTAAATTCATACGAATTCTTCACTCCATGCTCCTTGTTTCATTTCATATAGGCTAAGTATTCCATTAATGTATTTAGAGAGTTTGTATGTTGGAGAATTAGTGAAATCCACTATTGGACGTAACGGAACTTCTGATTTGTGTATTTTTGGTAACGCATAAAATCTATAGGGGCTGAAAATTTTTTGTAGCCAGAGTAAACCAAAGTGATACACCGAGCTTCTCTTTTATTGATTGTAACATTTTGCTTGTTTCAGCCTTCAGCTTATTTAATGTCGCCCTTGATTTATTCACGTTGAATTTTTCATAAGGTCCGTCACTAAGATGATCAATGGCCTTCTTTTCGTAATCTGCAGTGGTCATGACAACCGTGATATTGCCTTTATCTGCTTTTGTAATTATGACTGATTTATCTTGTTGTAGGTTTTTTAATGCCAGTTGCCAGTTGAAGAAGCTAGAAAACAACTCAGCGATTAAACTGCATTCGATAGAAATGGGATACAAATCGACTTTGATAAGACTAAGGTTCTACAGAAAGGTTTTGGTTCATATTAAGAAAGACTGACTGCAGAAGCCCTACATCTATGGGTGAATCGCAACAGTTTGAAGAGACGTGAAGGTGTGATGTTAGCTGATGCATGGCAAATCCTGACTAATAAATAAAATTGGATATGTATCAACAACTAGTCACACTTGGTCAAATTCCCGATTATCTACGTCTTCTTATGGAGAGAATAACAAATGTTTTATGACTGTTCACCCACACACACATACACACACTATTGTATACTGCATATACGCATATATTTTAACAAAAGTAGACTAATTGAATTTTAGATTTTCCCGTCGATGGATTGAACCGAAGTGCTCGGTCTCAGGTTGACATGTCGGCTTCTTGAGCAGATGCTTCGGCGATGTCTGGGCATTTAATTAGTATTTAATTGGTGGATGGTGACTAGCAGTGGAATCCAGGATGCGCATTTCGTCCTATTTGGGACTCGAACCAACTGCAATGGCGGCACATGCACAGCTGACATTGAAGTCATTACAAGGTATTTTGTGCACATGAAATTAGTCTTCCCTAATTGAGTAAATTGGCTACATTAGCTTTGAGAGGAGTAATCTGAGTGATTTTGAAGATCTGAATACGCATTCTAATCCCAACTTTATTCAGAAACCTTCGCAGAACTTTAAACGTTTCTTCCTTATGTGCTAAAACTGTGCACTTCTTAGATTTTCCTTTATTTATATCAGTGCTGACAGTTTGAGGTTTTCACATCTTCCTAATGAATTTTAAAAGAGATTTACTCATCACCGGTGTTCCTGCTGTCTTTTTGATTTCATGACTTTAGTTTTTCGACGTATTAGCTAACATTTTCGCATCTCTTCTAAGGAAATTAGTTAAGTCTGCCATTACAAACAACGGGTGAGATGACATAAGTGTAAAACTTGAGAATTATGGTAGAGTATAACTCCATTACGGATAAGATTTTATTTTGACAAATCACACAATGTTGAACAGGAATATTAACACAACATTTTGCTTCATATGTATACGCGAGATGATATTAAATCAAAAGATGAATAGCTTAGACGAAACCAGAGCAGCTGGGATGCATGCCAGAAAACACAATTGCACACTGCGGTGGAAAAGAGCAACGTGTCTGAAATGTAGTATGCGTATGTGGAAGGAAAGCATGATCACTAAGCGCTTGTTCATCGAGTGTAAGTGCGACACGAGCAGTAGGAGTGACGCAGTACCAGTCACCGACACCAGATATATAAAAAATGATATTAACAACCAATAAAATCGCAGGATAGCAACTAATGGAATAGAATGAACAAATCATTCTAGAGAGAATAAAAAACGCAGTGGATGCACAACTTCACCTGCAATAGGCCGTATTGAGAAGAAGCAAATTATGCACGAATCAAAGGACAACGCTCTGCATCGTTATTGAACAGAGCATAGAATGACGGTCAAATCACCGTCTCAACTTCATTGATTTTGAAATGGCGTTCGGAGTTATTTGGAAACTACTTTGTATACTTTGCAGCGCAATGTCGAAGACATTTACCAACCGAATTCAGCAGCTGTATGCCAATGCCTGGTATCAGGTGATTCACAACGGTAAACTCGACGAAGTGGAGACGGAAGTAAGACATGGTTCCTTACCACCGACTATGAAATTTCTGACTGTGGTGTACTCGATCATTCCGGAGGCTTTAGGGAACCAGAAGACATGAATATATATTGGACCGATAAGAAGATGCTGGGAGATTTTAACTTCGAGGACGACTGATGTGTGATATCATGAAAATCACAGACCGAAACCAACAAGCTGTCAGAAAAAGTAATCAGCGAAGTGAGGACCTTAAGTAAACATGGAGAGAAGATAAAAGTGAATAAGATACCTGGCCAACAACAAATACAAGCACCGATCACTATAAATGGAAAAATTTTGAAGGTGATCACTCCCTGCACTTATCTAGGAAGCATTGTTTCAACCAAAAGACACCGAGGATCGAAAAGGTTAAGCAGACATTCAGCACTCAATTTAGAACTCTGTCACACTCAGCATGAGGAGAGAAATTTGGATTTCTCACAATAATTTGAAGTCAGTTCCATATTCTCGAGGGACCTGGTTTGCCATGGAAAGCATTTCAGACAGGCTATTGAAGCATGTTATCAACATCTGCCTTTGCTGACCCCACAGTGAAGATCAAATGACCAGACAGAATGGATTAGCACCAAGGAACCCTAGGAACGAACCAGTCAAGAACTTAGATATGATGTAGAAAATTTTTAGCTCAGGTGGATGATTTTGATGTGGTTGTGTTCTCTGAGCTGGATAGTTAATTTGCGAAGCTTTCATCACTCTACTTGCTAGGCAACATCTTCAGCGCATACTTCAGTTTCAATTGAAGTGAGCTTTTCGATTTCTCCACGAGTTCACTATTAGTCATCTCTCCTGGCGGGTGACCTAGAACGTGATTGGTTGTGTGTTTTGTGTGTTTTCACACCCTCTAGACTACTTGTATTGCAACTGGTTGTTTCCTTGACCTGGAGTTTGACCCTTTGTGTGTGAGGTTTCTTTCTTATCGGTTGATAAATTTTGTCTATCTCAATGTGTCTATTGATTGATGATTCAGTGGAATACCCGACAGGCTTCTAAAAATTCTCTAGGATTCTTGTTGTTTCCTCTGTCTAATATTTGAAGGCTGGTTGTCCCAGTCGAATTGATGTCCGTGGTTGGTTGTTTGTGTGTATTGATCTGAGGGAGTGGATATCATGTCTTTTGATGTCTAGCTTATGTTCGTGGATATGAAGACGAAGGGGACGTCCACTTTGGCCAGTGTAGTGTTTTTCGCAGTTGATACAATTTATTTTGTAGATGATGTTGGTTTTATCTGCTTTTGTTGTTGATTATTTTGGTTGACACAGAGCTAGATGAGTGAAGTGATTTTGTTGGTTTGTGTGCGACGTCAATGCTGGTGCCTGTAACTCATGACTGGAGATAACCGAAAGATTCCATTATGGGTAAATTTTGATAAAGTCTCACAGTGTTATACAGTAATGTTTACTGATGACGTTTCGAGCACAATTCATTGCTCATAATCATATCAAGGTAATCACACGACTTCCTAAATTCATTTATATAGTTCCATTGTTTTTCACTTGATTTGATTGGTAGTATTATTTTCCATATTTCAGGTATGAGTGATGATTCATTCCTATTGCATGTGTTGTTTGTAGATTCGCTGAACAAGGATTCAGTAATCAACCTCTCTCTCCAACTACCTAGATTACTTTTTAGAATTTTAACCCTCTCCCACCCTATTGTGTGGTTGTGTGCTAATGCATTCATTGCAGTTACTGAGCTTTTTTCTAAATCACTTATCTTCTCTGGGTCAACCATTCTTACCTTAGCTAAATTCTTATGTTCTGACAATCTGACTACCCCTGACCTACTAGTTTGACCTATGTAGTTGACCTCACAGTCATTGCAGGGTATTTTGTAAATTATATTATTTTGTCTAATTGGGTCCACTGGGTCCTTTAACCTACAGAGCTTGTCCCTGAGTGAGTTTGTAGGTTTGAATGCCACCCTCATTCCTGCTTTATTTAGAATACTACGTAGGGTCTCAGATGTCCCCTCTTTATATGGTATAACTGTAGATGACTTATATTCTCTCTTATTTATTTTATTACTACTAGTTTCACAATTCTTTTTATTTTTCTTTTGGCGTTTTTCAATCTTCCTAATGAATTTTAGAGGATAGTTATTTAAAACCAACGCCTCTTCTATCTGTTTCATTTCATCATTTAGGTCTTTTCTTGTGCTACTTAGTGCCATTGCTCGGTTTGTTAAACACTTAACTAAGCCTGCCTTAACAGTTAAAGGATGAGATGAATTAAAGTCTAAATATCTATTAGAATGCGTTGGTTTTCTATAAACACTAGTGTGTAGTTTGCCTTCTTCTATTCGTTTTCTTTTACAATCTAACATAGCTAATTCTCCTTGCTCGTTTTCGGTTTCAAATGTGAATTTTATCCCCTCTACTAGTGAGTTAATATGTGTCAAGAAGCTAGAGATATGTTCTGTTTTTAACACTGTGAAAGTGTCATCCACATATCTCCACCATATTTTTGGAGTAGGATTAAATGTATTAAGTGCCATATTTTCCCAGCTATCCATAAATATATCTGCCACGATAGGGGATATTGGTGATCCCATTGCTACACCTTCAGTTTGTCTATATATTTTGCCTTGGAATTTAAATATAGTAGATGTGAGGCATAGCTGAATCCCTAAAATAATTTCCTCAATGGACAGCTTTGTCCTATGATTGAGTTCAATATCCGCAGTTAGTTCTTTTTTAACTGCTTCTAAGGCCATATTGACTGGTATATCAGTGTAAAGACTGGTTATATCAAAACTAATCATTGTTTCATCATTATCTAGTTGTATGTCATTTAGTTAGGTTAAAGGACCCAGTGGACCCAATTAGACAAAATAATATAATTTACAAAATACCCTGCAATGACTGTGAGGTCAACTACATAGGTCAAACTAGTAGGTCAGGGGTAGTCAGATTGTCAGAACATAAGAATTTAGCTAAGGTAAGAATGGTTGACCCAGAGAAGATAAGTGATTTAGAAAAAAGCTCAGTAACTGCAATGAATGCATTAGCACACAACCACACAATAGGGTGGGAGAGGGTTAAAATTCTAAAAAGTAATCTAGGTAGTTGGAGAGAGAGGTTGATTACTGAATCCTTGTTCAGCGAATCTACAAACAACACATGCAATAGGAATGAATCATCACTCATACCTGAAATATGGAAAATAATACTACCAATCAAATCAAGTGAAAAACAATGGAACTATATAAATGAATTTAGGAAGTCGTGTGATTACCTTGATATGATTATGAGCAATGAATTGTGCTCGAAACGTCATCAGTAAACATTACTGTATAACACTGTGAGACTTTATCAAAATTTACTCATAATGGAATTACACTCTACCACAGTGCACAAGTTTTATTCTTATATCAATAAGTCGTTCATTCCGATAACGATACATCCCGCTGGTACAGGGATTCATTGTAATCTCGCTTGCGAGATATTCATCAATACATGGTAGGAAGGGAAATTAAAGCACTTTATACACGAGATCACAAATGAGTTGGTGACTTTTTGACTACTAAGAGGAGTTGAAATTCATGAACCACTGGATCAGTTTCCGTTGGCTGAATGATCTACAAATGCGTCTTGTGAACGGGAATTCCTTGGAACGAACCTCGGTGTATGCATACTGTCCACTACACCCTGCTTACTTCCAATGATACTCTGATTGATGTCAGCTAGAAAGCATACCTCTCACTTGTTTTAACACATTCATATATGAATAAATAATTATGTATACGCTTTGATTATTTCTGTTTACTCACCTGTATAATTGATGTCGTGATTCTCCGGCATATGCACAGTTTTATAGTAGTACACAGCTGTCAGTCAATACAAAACTTCATAAATGTATCTTATAGTTCAAAAACACACACAATGAAAATGAGTAGGCATAGAATGTGTTTCGGTAAAATTACTTCATAAAATTTTCTATGATCATAATGAACAAGTGGAAGTCAACAGTTGCCATTGTTGAATGGATCCAGGTCAGTGAGATCTCTGCATAAAATGAGAATGGTCAAAATTTTCGAAGTATTTCATTCAGATAAAGTATAATTATATTTCAATAGTTTACACACAATGATAAGTTTTGTTATTGGTATTATTTCGAGCAAAATTACTGCCCGTGTTCACACCACTGTTGGAATTGTTTTATTCACACATTTATGATTTGTACTCACATATATAGTTCATTATTTTTGTTCATTCCTGTTTTTGTATTCAGAATTATATTCCAAGTTGTTGATAGTTGTACTGAGTCACCCTTGTTACATGTATCTGGTGTGACCTTAATGAATATCGATTCTGTTATAAGTCTTTCTTTCCATTTGTTCCAATCGATGTTGTGGTTTTTTTCCCATGCATATGCAGCTATCGATGAATTTTTTTCAAGATTCTTGTAGGTTTGTGTTCCTGTTGGTTGACCTTTGGTTAGGCGTTTATGTTCATTCACTCTTATTTTGAGTGATCTGGACGTTTGCCCCACATATTTAGTCAGATACATGTAACAAGGGTGACTCAGTACAACTATCGACAACTTGGAATATAATTCTGAATACAAAAAAAACATGAATGAACAAAAATATTGAACTATATATATGTGAGTACAAATCATAAATGTGTGAATGAAACAATTCCAACAGTGGTGTGAACACGGGCAGTAATTTTGCTCGAAATATTACCAATAACAAAACTTATCATTATGTGTAAACTATTGAAATATAATTATACTTTATTTGATCTAATCCGCAATGCTCAAGCTTTTTACTGATATAATTTCATTCAGTTTTTAATGTGATGTGTAGGTTTGATCATTTAAGCTTAAGTAGAATGGTGTTCCAGTGTGGAGTTAAAACTCATTCCATATCAAGCAGCAACAAATCGACTACAATCCCCCATTATTTTGAAACTCCATTTTATACTGCGCTGGTAATGCTTCTTCTAATTTTCTACTATTACTGTTGTATTGGAACAAGACATATAAGCGAACAATATTGCTGTTTTCAATTAGATCTTCTTCAGGCTCTACTCTAATTTACATATATATATATATATATGTATATATATATATAAAATTTTAACCAATGACGGTGATTTTGGGAATCAAATAATAATCTTAATAGTCTTAATAATAATCATAATAATAATGTGGTAAATGTTTTGAACGTAGTTAATAACGATGATTATAATGATAACAAAATATTGATAATAAGGTTTATGCAGGTGATAAGAGTAACAAAGATAGATTATGTATATAAGTGTATAAATAAATTAGGTCAAATCTTAATAGGTGAAGTGGAACGATAATCAGAGTTTAAATAAATATTATAAAAGTACGAAGGAGATGGAAAATAAGAAAGGGTAGTGGGAGGATTTTGAACAGAATTCACCTAGGCCAAGGGAGAGACAAAGGTAGAACAAACTTATTTTGTATGCAAAGACCAGGATTGCTCTCTCAAATTCCCACAGCTTCGGCTAGGTGTAAAAGACGGGTTCTGATTCCATTCGAAAGACTCGATGGAATACGATAGATAACTTTGAAAGCACTATTTTTGTCCACTTGGTGACCGCTATCAATCAAATTAGCCAAAATAGAACTTCGTATGGATTTTATTTGACCTTTTCCGAACCATGAAGGAAGATGCTCATTAATGCGTTTGTTAAGCTGTCTCGTTGTTCACCCTATATAGCTTTCTCCGCAGGAGCAACTAAATTTATAGATACACATAGATGTGGCACAGCTAGGTAGCTTGTCTTTCACTTGAGCAATCAAAATTGGTAGGCTGGAAAATGACAAACAATGGGTGGCGGCAGTATAAGTCCGTTTTATCGCTCTCGATAATCTAAGATGTAAGACTTCCCTAGCCAGGTTCCCATTAAATTGCAGTTTCATGAACAGTTCTTTCTTTTTAACTGTTGTCAGGTTTTCTTTATTGTACCTGGTATTCATGTATCTCCTTACAAATCTACTAGGATAACCTATTTGGACCAGCGTATTTTGGATGTATCCTAGCTCATTTTCCAGGGAGTCATCTGTACAAATACGTCTTGCTGTATTCGTAAGGCATCTGACCAAATTGACTTTGTATCGGATTGGTACAAAACTGAGGAAATGTGTATACTGTCCTACAGATGTAGGTTTTCTATAGACATCTCTCTTGAGTGAACCATCCTCCCTTCTGCTGAATTGGACGTTAAGGAAATGCAATCTACCATCATGTTCTTCTTCACAAGTGAAGATGAGCGATGGATGTGCATCATTAGACTTTTTTTAACATTTCATTCTTGCCAGTTTTCATATCAAGAATAATAAACGTATTATCAACATAACGAAAATAAGAATCGGTTTTCTCTATTACTTGTCTCAATGGACCATTTTCAATCTTGGCTAGAAAGAAATCTGTCAAAATTGGCCCCAATGGAGAACCCATGGCAGTACCGTCGATTTGCCTGTAGTAAAGGTTGTTGAATATGAAATGTACATTAAAGTACATCTTAAAAGCAACTCTTTCAGACTAATAACTGGAATTCCGATGTCGATCTGTTTTTCTAGTATCTGTTGGCATATGAATTCCACAGTCTCCATAAGTGGTACATTGGTAAACAGTGATGCAACATTTGAGGAAAGCATTTGCTTCCGCTTACATTGATATCATCCACGTTAGCAATTACTGTTGTGTCAAAAGTACAGCCTAATAATCTTTCAACTGGAAACTTTTACTGACAATCTTTCAACATGCAAAATACATATCCTTCTCAAATAAAAACTTGGCTAATTCTTCTTCTCAACAGGTGCCTTCAGTATTCAAGTACTGCTTCTACTGCTGTGTTATGTGATTAGGAAGGCTTAAGTTGTCAGAGAGAGATCCCCTGTGTTCTTAACTTCAACTTTTAAAGATGTCTATCATCCAGTTGACACTCGAGTGATAGCCTGGCGCGTGATGTTATTCAACGACCACTTCACTGTCTGTCCGATCCTTCTCATTTTCATCAGAATATTTATTGAGTATCAGGCTTTTGTTTAGTTTATCCCCAGATTTACTTGTTCCTTATTCGTCCTAAGTTTCTTCGCTGGTTCAACAATGATAGAATCCAAGCCAAACGTGCATGTGTGGTCTGCATTTCAAGTTCCAGCCGACCAACACTCCTGCCTCTCACTTAGTTGACTGTAAGCTTGACAAAATGGGATGGATGTGTGTGTGTGAGGCCAGGAATCTCACTTTGTAGAAAACACCACTGTTATTGAAAGTTCAAAGCATAGGCTTCACAGCGTTTTTGTTCCGCTCAAAGCACAAAAGAACATAATAAATAAGTAATAGTAAAAAATTCTTTCTGGCTGTCTGATCCACAAGATAGAACGAAAGCGTCCGCTTTCGATCAAAATCTGCAGTAATCTGTTGGAAATGCTTTCAGTGAAGCGCATGTCAAGTTACTGAACCATGTATCATAATTAATTCAACATTTTGGTGTTGAAAATCAAATGGTGTTCACTATGCCGAGTGAAGAAGATTTCCTAACTGATATCAGAATCATGAATGTTCCTGTGTCAGCCTTCTGATACTGACTGGTTTCAGAGTCCTCATCCATGGTGGTGCCTGTAGTTGAAATCATACTGTCTAGCTGAATAAGTGAAGACAGTGACCTCTTTCAAGTGTCGCCCACTGATAGTGATTGGTGTTGGTTGTTGTTGTTGGCTGGTTGGTTGGTTGCCTCATTATCTTCATGATATCCGTCTCCGTCTGCACCGAAGATAGGACTAGACACATTACACTAGTTACTGACTAGTGTGCAATCAAAAATATCCAATACAGTCCTACAGGAGGTCAGTCGCCAGCCTGAATAGCTCAGTGGTAACGTCTCTGACTGCAGCACTTAGTGACGCGGGTTCGAATCTCAGAAGGGACATCAGTTCCTTCAAGGTTGCAGATACGCCTTGCTGATGAGTGCCAACTAGCACGAAACCTAGGTCCAAGGCTGCCTGCCGATTGCCTCCAACCATCTAATATCCGTCTCCTCTATGCTCGTTCGAAGTCCTGTCTTAGCTTCCCACCACTTCTGTCAAATTGTTGGTCATCAACTGTAAGGCGCCGGATTTTTGTGACATTCAACGCTAATCTTCCACAAGTTCCAGATATTCCAGAGTCTTCTTATCGGTCCAACATATTTCTGTCTACTCGTATTTCGCAGTCTACCGAGTGACCCAGTCCAACTCATTTTCAGCATTTTTACTGCTGTTTTCACAATTGGAGGAATTCGCTGAGTTTTCCTTTGTGGATCAACTGAAGTGTAGCTTTTCCGTGAGGTGGGTTAAGATTTGCGCTACTGCACTGCAAATTGTCGAAGTAATTTCCTAACTCTAAGTAGTCAGTCAATTTTTGTGACCGCAATCCAATTCTTAGTTCACTTGTTTACCCGTCGACCATTTTCAAACGTCCACTCATCATGTAACGTATTACTTGACAACTGCTACGATTATGAGCCCCTTTTGAGTGTAGCTTTATACATTGTTATCAATCATGCACTTTGATTTATTTTACTACCAACCAAATGACAAAAGGCAGTGACTTGTGTATATAGACACTTAGAAAACTACTGAGCTGTGAGTGGAAGTTACAAGAGGCGATCTCTTTGTCGACGTGTGTATTCTTAGTGACTGTCACAGTTATTGCCCGGATCATGAATAAGCACAGAAGAAAACATGGAAACAGAATTTAACACAATTCAGTTATAATTCTCATTGAATATCTTTGAAGCAACAACAACAACAACAACGGCAATACTTTGTTGACTAACCTGGAGAGACAAGCAAATCCTTTCTAGCCGTCCATGCATCGCGAAGAGAGTTGACGAGGTTGGCGAAGACTGCAAATCATCATTAGAATATAGTGCTATACTCAGCATGCTATTCAGAAACACGAATTCTTATTTGTGTGTTGTCAGAAGTCTACTTTACGTCGAATTCGACTTTCCTGTTGATTGGTTGGGCAGAAAAGTTCGACCTCTGTTGATATGTCGGCTCGTGGTAGAGACACACTGACGATGTCTGTGGATTAAGCTGAAATAGTTTGGTGGGTGGTGACTGCAGGTTATTCAGAACTCGTCATTCAGACGTAACTGCATTTGCCAGTGGGTGTTAGTCTTCCCACAGAGATTAAATACTTCAGTCGAATCAGTCAACGGGAAAATCGGAATTCACTCAAAACATGCAATAACTGATGCGCATTGCATAAGACACGATTCTAGTTGCCCAAGTGGTACAGTGGATAACACCACGGTGTTTGAAATGATGAGTACCATCACCTCGAGAATCCACACACTTCCAACCGAATGATCTCAAATTGCACGAAATTCGCATCATGGTTTCCAAGCTAGTCACCACCCACCAAATCAATTTCACATCTTACCAACTGACAATCGGAATATGAGCAGATGATGTTCAGTGGTGTTTTAGAGTATCACATAATGTCACCATGAGGTTGGGAGTTGTTGATGATGCTGTTAATCATCTGAGACTGGTCATGCCTCAGCTGTATTGGATGAGTAGATTGATTTTTAGAGTAAATAGCTGGCATGATCCTGTCCTCTCAAGATGACAGAGAATTCGATTTCTCTAAATGTCTTTACAAAGGATTTGAGTAAACTATGTATGCGGCGGCTGCTGAATTATGATGATGTTGTTGGGTTGATTTATATTGAAATCCAGTTTGAATAAATAAAACGAAGTAGTCGGACACACACTGATGATTCGACATGGGCGTATGAATCGTGTTCAGCATCTATCGAGTTACATCGTCTGCAGCCCTAGTTGATTATCCAGATGCATGTCCAATAGCAAATGTGCAAATCATTAGTCCACGTTGACGTATTTTTACAATGTGTACGGAATTCCAGGAGGATGAATATCTTCAGAGTCAGGATCTGCATGATAATATCCAGATAGACTAGAAGCAATGAGTATTTTCTTTTATCATTTATTTTATTTTTTATTTTTTATTTTTTTTGACTACAGCTTGATGCTACACCGTATTTTTAGGTACAGGTATGGAATTTTCAGCATGGATATCGGTAGCCCAAATTTTGCAGGCCGACCATAGATATCGGGTGTGCGCCGCCAGGGGGTCGAACCTCGGACCATATGCATGGTCGGCGAAAGTCCTAACCACTGTGCCACCGACGCACAGTATGTGATACTGAAGTGGATTGTATGGTGGAGAGTGATGAATCTATCATTCTTTGAATGCCACCCACCAAAGTTGATTATCAGTCTGTGGATGACATAACATGATTGTGTGGCACAATGGCAGTGGAGGCGGGGTGGAGGAAGGATTGAAAACCGGTTCATCTACCACAACACGACATACATATACTGTGGAAAATACTTCCTCATTTAGATCAGACGTTACCTGCAGGTAGGTCAGTTTTAACTTTCATGTTCCTCATTTTGTCATCAATATCTTCAAATACAGTACGGGCTGGAAACGAAAGCACATATGAATTATTTAAAATCTATCTGATTATCACTGATCTGTCTATCTATCTATCTATATATCTATCTGCCTGTCTGTAAGCAAACATATTGTTCAGTAAACTCACAGTGAAACAAATAAACATATTCAGCTGTTTCTAAATGGAAGATAAAAGAGCACACACATTATTTGCTCAATAGTAGAACTCAATACATTTGCGCACCATGATATATATATATATATATGCAGCATATATTAACACACAGTGCAATACTTTTTATTGGAAGCACAGTTTATAAATGAAATAGGAGTATTAATATTTCAGAACATAGAACATATGAAAGTGAGAAAAGAATTTTTCAATTTCAGCGGTCTCGCCTAACAACACAAGACTTTTGTGTGCAACGAATAATTTAGGAAAAATTAGTTTATGGCGAGTGGATTGGTTTCAAGTTTGATAGGGGATTAATATCAGTTAGAGGAGAGGAAACAGGCATAAAATGGACTCACACAAAAAAACTTGGAGGATCTGCACTTCGCCGATGATATATGTCTGATTTCTCACAAACTGGAAGATATGCAAGCGAAAAGCAACAAGTTGGCAGAACAAGCATCTAGAGAAGATAGGCCTTCAGGTGAACATAGAGAAAACAGAGTTGATGAAGATTCCTGGGCAACACCACCAACAGCAACAACAACAACAGACAACAATCAGCATAAATGGGAGAAATCTGAAAGAAGCAAACTCCTTTACCTACCTGGGAAGCATCATTTCAAATACAGGCGGATGGAACTGACGAGGATATCAAAGCAAGAATCGGAAAAGCAAGGCAAGCTTTCACTACTCTCAAGTCTGTGTGGAGGTCAACAGCACTCAACATCAAAAATGAGATCCGGATTTTCAACTCCAATGTGAAGTAAGTCAGTGCTACTATACGGATCAGAGACTGGCACTGCGCGTCATGAAGAGCATCTCAAGCAAACTACAGACCTTCTTTAACAGTTGTCTTCGCTCAATACTCAAGATCCGATGGCCAGAATAGATCAGCAACAGGGATCTCTGGGACCGAACCAACCAGGAACCGATTGTGCAACAAATATGTAGGAAGAAATGGAGATGGATTGGCTGGCCATACTCTGAGGAAACCACCAAGTGACATCACTGGACAAGCCATTGCTCGAGTGGAACCCGAAAGGGAAGCGGCGAGTTGGTCTTCAGTGCAAGGGTGACTTGGAGGAGGTCATATGAGGAGGAGATGAAAACGTGTGGGCAGACATGGAGCTAGGTGAAGACTCTAGCAGAGAACCGAACGCAATGGAGACGCACGGCTGAAGCCCTACGTTCCTGTAGGAATTAAAGGATACAATAATAGTAATAATAAGAGGAGAGTGTTTGTGAAACCACCTGGGAGTGCTGAACACGTATTGTTTCATTGTTTGCTACTAATCAGCATTAATGGGAACAACCGTAACCGCATTAATAATAATAATAACCTTATTTCAAGCGGAACATTCGATACAATTCGGAATTTTTAGTATGTAATACAATAATTGTATCTAATTTCTACTGTGCATTACATAGGGCGAAATAATTTAACAGGGCGATTACACCGATGATAATGTCAAACAAGAATACGAATGTAGAGTTTAAGTTAAGCGAAATACCATAACAGTGAGAGAAAGAAACAAAACGGCCATCGATATGCTGATTCGCGCAGTAAATTAGTAATGTCATGTCCTACACTTTCCCATAACATAAAATATGTCCTGGCTAAATGAGGCGAAACGCAGAGTTTTATGCTCAGTCGTCGGAGCACAGAGATTTATATTGTTGCTTCTTGTGCCATTTGATGAAGCTGGACACGAGAGTCGTATATGGAGAGGCTGCTCAGGGTCCGACAAGATAATATTCGCTGATCTCTTGTGTCAGTTCTCAACAGCAGTAATAACAAGCTTGTTTGGTGGCATCCTAATCGCTCTAACAAGCGCTTTTACCGCCCTTCGAAATGTAACGAAGTCTATATAATTAGCGTGGGAGAGGTTGAGGGAGAGAAATGATTCAGCATGGGTAGAACACAAGAATCAACAATTTGTCAAAGTAGAGACTGAGTTATATAGGAGGAAATATGTATCCCTAGTTATTCAACATTCGACTTGGTTCCAACTGCAGTGTCATCTACAACACTAGAACCATGGGAACAATATTTTCATGACCTAGTGGTGTAGGAAAACTGCAGCCACAGGAAGTCAAATCTCCAGTAACTATCGGAAAAGAGTTGGCATGGGAGGCGATAGCGAAAGAAGTCAAATCATCAGCAAATGAGGTTAGTTCTGAGAGACTACAACCATGTGGTTATAGTTGTACTTAGACAGACAGGTGCTTCAGTCGACATTTCACTGTAATGCGGTCGATTTTTTCATTTGAGAATCTAAAACGAGCGTTGTTGTAAGTATACCACTACTGAGGATTGATAAGGGTTGCAAATCCAAAGCTGGGTTTTTCATTGCTACATTGATCATGTCTAAACGGTCTCAGACAGACTAAATTATGACCATATAGATCCTAGAACCAGGTGTTTTGAAGAGTTATAATCCTCGTGTTTTGGTTTACATTAGAAGATATGTGAAACTGGAGACAGTTAATTTTAGTGGACAGGGAACGATAGACTGTACTCATAATCTCAGGAACCATCATTTGGTGTATTGGAGCGCGTTTCAAAGCCCTTTGCGCCACCAAGAACGATGCATATGCTTGTGTTAATTCGGAATTTGCAAATCTGCAGGTTTCAAAGTCTTAAAAATAATCGCGAGATTAAACAATGAGACTAGATGTAATATAATGACGAGGCATTGTGTAGTAGCCCAAGGTCACCGTCGTGGTACGAGCCCATGAACCCATTCATCAGAGATCGAACACAGGAAATTCAGTGTACACTATGGACACTGATGAGTAGGTGATTGGATACCATCCCAATGATTGAGTTGTCAATGATCTCATCTCGTGACCTGAAGCTGTGTTGCTTTCGATCCCCAATATGTCGGTTAATTGGTGCTTACTGTTGAACAGTGCTAAACTACGACAAAACAGCTGTCCAAATCTCCCAGATTGTCTCCGATGCTCCTGAAACAGATATCATCAGTCATGTGGTGATCAAACATGAGGAGTGCTTTGACTGTGATTCTATTTCAGCTCTGGAAATGTGTTTTTTCCATGGGGTTATCGCGTCAATATCTCCAATTGTTAGTATAAAATGTCAGTGTTATTCATTCTTCGCCACGTTATAAGGAGTTATTCTGATAATAAACCATACCTATAGTGGAATCGTATATCGCAGAAAATCCGTTCAGATTCTTCCAATTAGAGTCACCTTTCAGTTCTGTAATCAATGAAAATAGCAGTCATGAATCAGTTGGATACAAAGTAAAGACGAGATATAGGCGAATAGATATGTGTGTGTGCAACTGTCACATTGGAAGACATATTTAGTGACTTAGCCTCACAATAAACTCAAATCAAATTGGTGATTTGCAAATTACTTCGTAGTTCACAGAGGTCCCATTTTTGATTATTTACGTATATTTCCAATCTGGAAATGGAAATTATTCATTGTGGTGTATTGCACCACTCACATCAGTGAAATGTGTAGTATGTGGTGTCAGGTCATTTAGGCCGACTTCGCTGATTACCATTTATGATATCAGGCAGCTTACTGACTCTGGCTGGCTGGCTGGATTCAACATAGAACTTGGCACAGAAGTGCAGCAGTTCTAGTTGCCATGTTCCATGTGCCAAATAGCACACGAAGGTAGACAAGAAAATTAGTGAAGAGAGTCAATAGAGTTTTGATAAGTATAAGAGTGAAACAGAATGAGTAATGGTAGAAAGGAATATGAAAGATTACAGAGACTGAATACATCTGCGTAAGCCATTGACAACGATTTTGAGCCATGTCACCTGTTGTCTCCAGTCATTGGTTCTTAGAGTCCCGAGGGTGGGCCCCAACCCGGAAGTCTGCATCTCCCTACCTGATTCAGTTTAACTGTCAAGGATTTCATGGATTGATGGCATGTTTTTGTTTGGCCACCACTTACTCTTTTCCAACCTGAACCTATATCAGCCAGTAATGCCCATCGGGAGAGGCGATTGTTAGGCATGCGCAGCACGTGACATAGCCATCTCAATCTATGTAACTTTAAAGCCTCTTCGATTGATTTTCCCTCTTTGCCTAACACTCTACGCCTAACGTCAACATTACTTACCTTATTATACCACCTAAGGCGAGAAAGAGATCGTAAACATCTGTGGTCAAAAACAGTCAACCTTTTCATGTCTTCAACTCGTATTGGCCATGTTTTAGAGCCATAGAGAAGGACGGAGTGAACTGCTGAGCAGTACACACGTCCCTTGGTTGATAGCTGGATGTCACTCCTACGCCAGAGACGGTGTAAGTTAGCGAAAGCAGCCCGAGCTTTTTGTATCCGTGCTGAGATTTCGTCACCAATCAATCCGTTGGTGCTGATACAACTTATTGACTCACATTGAGTGGTCTGAGTAATTTCCGTTTCCCAGGGAAACTAACTGGTGCAATTTCACCTTTTCCAACTGGTTTAATTGCGAATTTGTTTTGATATATATATATTACCAGCTCGCCGAAGTAGCCAGTCAAAAATTGGGTGATTTCAGCTGAGGTAAACTTGTCACACTGGGAATGAACTCGGTGCTAGAGGGGAATAAATGGTCATGCAGTGTGATCTGGCTGATTAACAAGCCCTACTGTTTGTTGATGGAAGTGGTATACAAGTACTCATTAGAGTCGAACAGTAGTATGCAGTTTTCATGGTTTTATGGTAATCTTGATTAACACTACTGAATGCTGTTTTATGCCCTTTTATTCGTCGACAGTTATCACGAGTACTCACTGTTCAGGTAATCCACAGTCGTGTCCGCAAATACCTGGAACTTAGTATTGCGAATAACTGAAAGGCAGAAAAAAATAAAGTGAAAACACCAATATGAAAATAATCTCAGCAGATGTGTGAGAGTGTGCGTCGGTGGCATAGCGGTTAGGACGCTCACCGACCATACACATGGTCCGGGGTTTGATTCCCGGCCGACGCACTCCTTTACCTCGCTGAGCCAATATTTATAAAAAAAAGCTGGTAAAGAGGAAAGGTTGGGCATGATGGGCTAGCAACCCCATCCTGTAAAATAAACACCACTGCTACAGAAACTTCAAGCCTCTAGCTTGAAGGAATGAAAGAAAATATGTGAAAGTGGCGGACTGTGATGTGAGCATGTGATTTCACACACACTTTTTTTTCCTTCACGTTCCCCAGTGGAACATAGGGCTTCAAGCTAGTGGCTTGAAGTTTCTGTAGCAGTGTTTATTTTACAGGATGAAGTTGCTGGCCTCATGCCCAACCTTTCTTCTTCACCAGCATTATTTCTGGCTTAGCGAGGTAAAGGAATGCGTCGGCCGGGGATCGAACCCCGGACCTCACACACACATGGTGAAAAGTTATCATAAAAAGAATACCTAAATTTCGCAGAAAATTTCAGATTGTTTAGAATCTTATCATTGCAGTGTAACTACACAACTTCCTGTGCATTCACTGTCGGGGGAGGGGGATTAGAATTTCGCCGATGTGCAGGTGGACAGGTGTTGAATGACTTCTATTTCTCGTATTCTCAATTGATTGGATTAATAAAGTATTTTTTAAATGGCTGTCATGGCACAATCTCTATAGTGGATAATACTTTGGAGTTTCAAACAATGGGCGCTTAATTAGAGTCTCAGTGGGAACATAATAATTCACTGGGGTTCGTAGGTGGATCCCACTGGCGAATCTCACATAACTTGAACTGTGCATTCTCCACTCCATTTCTAGTCACTATCCACTAAATCATTTCAAGTTGAGTCCTCAGAGAACCAAAGCATCAAGAGAAGTGGGATGTCTTGGTCCAATCGATCAACACGGCAATCAGAAAATATTGCATCAGTTATCGATCTCACTGTCCATATCCTTCCTGTTGTACCAGATTATAAAACAAATCAGGGGACGGTAGAAGCTAGGGTTCATGGACTGGCCATTGATTCAGGCTCCAGTGGCTGAATGGTCAACGGACCTGCCTTCTAATCATAAGCTACTGGGTTCTTATTCTTGTGGTTTGCATACTGCCGATGAGTTGGAAACTAGGATGTGACAGCCAGCTATCCAATAATCACTGGTGATTTTCAGAGTTTCTCTGAGTGATATGAATTCGCTAGAAATAAACGGTTCATATTTGCAGCTTAGCGGTGAAGTAAATAATGCCGTTTGCCTGTATGGTATGCGTTGGCGGTTTAGCAGTAGGATACTGGCTAACCATACATGTGGTTCGGTGTTCGGTTCCCAGCCACTGGTAGTAATTCTAGGAAACAGGGTGAGTTGCACATGAGTGAGATGATGTCTTCTGAAAAGAACTGGAACTTTTGGGGGACAGGTTGAGTTCCTTGCATAACAAAATATAGACGGGATGTAATGAAGTCAGTAGAGGCAGATTACGAATCACTCTCACTAAGTGAAACTCAAGCGTGGGATTTCTGTATTTTGTCATGAATCAGAGTAAAACATTTTCAAGAAGTACGGGGGAATAAGTTCAGCGAGGCGGGTCTCTTCGAAGAAATCGTTATCTTCTATAGCTGTACAAACGCATTCATTTGTAATTTTCGTCTTCCCTACTCTTTGTTGAAGTTCTAGCCTCTCAGACAGAGAATCCGGAGCTCTACATACAAAAGCAAATAATTATTCAACCACTTCTACTTGCTTTCTAACAAACTTGTTGGTTGGTTTGTTTTCTTGTTCAACGCTCACCAACTCTTCTATTCTCTACGAACTCTGATGTGAAACCACATTCACCTTTGTCTGCTTTTGCATCCTGATTATAACTCATGTATACAAATTGTCCATCATCCTAATACGTCATTCAGATGTCCTTATTTAACTGCCTTCATAATATTGGTTGATATTGACAACCATGACTGTGACAACTCATCACTTTTATTGCTATGTGACCTTTTTGTGGAGAGAAAATTGTACAAAAATGCGGTGATCGTAAAGCTGAAGAGGAAAATGAAGTCGCTAAACGAGAGCCTATTGGCTGAACCAACCAGGAGTACTGGACAGCTGTTACGTCACATTTTGAAACTCACCGACATTACGCATCAACTGGACTTCATACCCCAGGGTATTCCAGTTGCAGGTTGTAAATGAATAAGAGATCAATGTTATTATGATCATCATTATTGTGACTGAAATTAGTTTCAATATCTCACTTTCGTTAAAATCCTCCACAGTCCAATTGATTTCTGGTGATCTGACTGTCAATAATGCAACGCCTGTAAAAAAGATTAATACATTGAAATATTTCACAAGTAATCATTCCAACGGAATAATTGTTGGCAAAAACACTCCTAAATCATCTAACTAGAGTTTTGCTGCTTATACGGAAGTTAAAACTAACTTTGTGATGATCATCCGTGCTTCTCCTAAACTGCACTATCATATGTTGACTTCTACTTACGCTGCTGCCTGTTGAATCTCTAATTCTAATGCTTCACTTTGAGATTGTGTGATAGTGTGGGTAACAAGTTGCTTTAGGAGTAGATTTTAGATAGAATGTAGAAGATTTTTAGCTCAGGTGGATGATTTTGATGTGCTGGTGTGTTCTCTGAGCAGCTGGATAGTTAATTTGTGAAGCTTTCATCGCCCTACTTGCTAGGCAACATCTTCAGCGCATACTTCAATTTCAATTGAAGTGAGCTTTTCGATTTCTCCACGGGTTGATTAGTCATCTCTCCTGGCAGGTGACCTAGAATGTGATTGGTTGTTATTGTGTGTTTTCACACCCTCTAGACTACTTGTATTGGAACTGGTTGTTTCCTTGACCTGAAGTTTGACCCTTTGTGTGTGAGGTTTCTTTCTTATCGGTTGATAAATTTTGTCTATCTCAGTGTGTCTATTGATTGATGATTGAGTGGAATACCCGACAGGCTTCTAAAAATTCTCTAGGATTCTTGTTGTTTCCTCTGTCTAATATTTGAAGGCTGGTTGTCCCAGTCGAATTGATGTTCGTGGTTGGTTGTCTGTGTGTATTGGCATGAGGGATTGGATATCATGTCTTTTGACGGCTAGCTTATGTTCGTGGATACGAAGACGAAGGGGACGTCCACTTTGGTCAATGTTGTGTGAAAGCACACAAAAACAACCAATCACGTTCAAAGTCACCCATCAGGAGAGATGACTAATCAACCCGTGGAGAAATCGAAAAGCTCACTTCAATTGAAATTGAAGTATGCGCTGAAGATGTTGCCTAGCAAGTAGGGCGATGAAAGCTTCGCAAATTAAGTGTCCAGCTCAGAGAACACAACCACACGAAAAGAGATTTTGTTTGAATGTGTTAATATGAGAGTGAGCTTGGGCTGTCAATGGAAATTGTTTGGTGCATGACAGAGGTTGCTGAAGAAGATTTGATCCCACATTGTTGGCAGTGTCTTTCTTCATTGGAAGCACTCACTTTGTATTACGGCAGTTATCTTGACACTGTTAAGGAGATTGGGAGTTTTAGATGTTTAGTTTTGAATTAAAAAAAACGCATAGATCTATCAAGGAATACTCATCTTTTTCTGTATTTCGAGTGTTTTATGACTGTGCGTCTATCAAGGAAGTTTCAGATAGCCACAAATTGGATATGTAGATAGGTTCACTGCATTCAGACCAAAACCCAACCAGTTTCGATCGTCAATAATTACCCAGCAAGTTCAGACTACAAATACTTGCCAATTAGATTGACTAGTGGTTGCTTTATGTATGGCAATTAGGCAGAAGTTAGGGTTTATTGGCCAGGCATTGAATACCGTGCCAATGTATGTATTATCCATGTGATCATTTTTCAACATGTAGGCCTTCGATTGAATATATGTGCGGATGATGCGGTGTGTACTGATCGGTACTGTTGAAGGAGGATGAACTAGGTGCCAATCACTCCATGCACAGTTCAGTGATTCTCTAACCGATATCAATCACCGATCAAGACCGATATCAATCAAATCCCTGCCAACCAACACTTGATCATGCTAGAACAAACTTTACTCACATTCATTAGTCTTGTAATGGCCATAGAGTTCACTGTAACGCTTGATCAGCGTGTCCAATTCATCTAGAATGTAGAAAAGCAGTAAACACGAAAATGGGGGAATGTTGGAGATAGTATTTTCAGTTGACAAATATGAATACTGGTAATAACGTGGTTTTCCTCTTTGCACTGGATAATCTCAGTGAATTGTTAGGCATCTGCAAATTCTAGCTGAAACGAGAAAGTGGTTAAAACATGACAATATTGATGAGTTTGGTTGTGGAAGGGAGAACACAGGTTAGTCGACAGGTGAATTATGGAGGTCATTGTTACTCCCGTTGATACAGAATCTGAAGAGACTTCTCTCAGAGTTATATATGAAGTAAGATCAAGCGTTCGAGAGGATTCTGATTACATCTTTTTCATACAGAAGCAGCTCTAGGTACGCTTAAGAAATAGCTGGAGCATTGGGTTCAGAAGTCCTTTATCCAGCCTCTTTAATTACCATGGCCTCAGACTCAGTTTTCTTTAGAATATTTGTTAGGCTCCAAGGCGGCTAACTGATTCGTCCTCAGACTTTCTGGCTGCTAATCATTTCTAGCCGGCAGTCTGATCTTCACTATGCAGCAAAGTCTCAAGCATATGACAGAGGTCTGCAGTAATCTGTTGGAAATTCTTCCGGTGAAGCGCATGTCAATTCCCTGAACCGTATAGAAGAACTGAATCAGTATTGCTGTTGAAAATCAAATTTTTGTTCACATGTATACAATTATTATTTGTTTAATACCACACAGAAACGAATGAGTTAACAATTTTCAACTTGATATGAAAGTTTGAAGGTTTGAATATAGATTAAAAGGAGCTTAGAAACAAGATTACATCGTATTAGAAAGCAGTTACAAAGGTATGCAAAATTAATATTTGATAACTGGGGAAATAATATTAAAGTTGAATAACTTACTTTTTACTTTGATTACAGCTTGATTCCACACTGTACATTTTGGTGCAGGTATGGAATTTTCATCATGTGATGTCGGTAGCCCAAATTTTGCAGTCCGACCATAGATATCAGGTGTGCGTCGGCAGGGGGTCGAACTCCAGATCATGTGCATGGTCGGCGAGAGTCATAACCGCTGTGCCACCGACGCACAATTATTTTCAAAACATTACGCAGGGATAGAACGAATTGCAGGTGTGAACAAAATGAGCATGGAAACAAACTGAAAACATAATTTTCATCTTGAAATGTCTTCATTCAATTCATCCCATTTTTCCCAGTTATAAAATCAGTTATTTTAAGTTTGTTTCTATACTACTACTTATCACATTTGTAATCCGTTTAGAATAACTATTTTACACTTATATTCTAATCCTGTGTAATTTTTTTTTCTATGCCTCTTGTAATCTATATTCACACCTCCTAACTTACATTTCAAGTTGGAGAAAAATTTTGATTTCAATTTGTCTCCATGCTCATTTTGTTCACACGCGTGATTCCTTCTACCCCTGCGTAACCTTTGTTTCTATGCCTCTTGTAATTCATATAAAGTTGAAAATAATTGTAACCATTAATTTACCTCTAAAATTATTTCTCCAGTTATCAAATATTAATTTTGCATACTCGGACCCGATTCAATGACTCATGAATTCTAACTTCTACCAATTCGTGATTTAGCGTGACCCCAACCATTGTCGTTGGTGGGACATCCATCCACACATGTGACATCTAATTGGACCTCACTGGTCACGACTTCTCACTAGAACTCTAGGAAGCTCCATCCTGTAGCAAGTCGCTAGCGAGCATCAGATTAATTTTCTATAGTTTGGTTTGTAAGGGTTAGTTATGTTTTTACGAGTGACTTGCTACAGGATGGAGTTTCCTGGAGCTCTAGTGAGAAGTCGTGACCAGTGAGGTCCAATTAGATGTCACATGTGTGGATGGATGTCCCACCAACGACAATGGTTGGGGTCGCGCTAAATCACGAATTGGTAGAAGTTAGAATTCATGGGCTGGTTATTGAATCGGGTCCCAGTGGCTGAATGGTATACGAGCTCGCTAGCCTTGTAACCGGAAGGTCCTGGGTTCGAACTCCCTGTGGTGGGTGCGTACTGCCAATGATTCCCAAACTAGGATGAAACAGCGGCTGTCCAGTACTCCCTGGCTGGTTTTCAATGGTTCTCTAACTGATATCAATCCGTGATCAACTCGTAGAAACATAACTAACCCTTACAAATCAAACCCTTATAGAAAATTTTGCATACGTTGTAACTGTTTTCTTATCCTATGTAGTCTTGTCTCTAAGCCCCTTGTAATCTACATTGGTGCTTTCAAACTTTCATATCAAGTTGAAAATTCTTATTTTTCTTCTTTACCATGTGGAATTAAACGAAATTTTGCTCATCATGCTGAGTGTAGAAGATTTACAAACTGATTTGTTCATCAGATCTCCACTGACCACATTTTGTGTTTGTGTGTGTGTGTGTGTGAATCCGGCCTACGTCATCTTGATCTAACAAATTCTGATATAGAAATATGTTAAAGCTTAAAGGTGGGGAACACTGTTTAAAATCCCTATGTGAAACCTGCCATTGCGAGAGATGTCTGCATCACTTCAAATATATCCCTAATCGAATAGCGAATACCAGATAGCAAGAACGTATGTGGCATGATGTAGATTGATAGAGAGCGGCTAAATTGAAACCAACATTTCTAGTGAATGCCTATGCATGTGAAAGTGTTTATTCCTCAAATCTGGATTCTCTTCACGCTATGCACACTGGACAACCTGTTTAACATTTGTCCAATTAACAACCAGTCAGATATACCTACTATTCCAAAGACCTAGCCGAACCTAAGTGTGGTCAAATTGAAGGTCTTCTATCACCTAACGTTATATTGTCATTCTGAATATGAATACTTGTGATTAGATAATCATAATAATAGCTTTATTCCAAACAGTATTTGTGGTACAGGTATGGAATTTTCAGCGTGCATTACAATATTACATCTAATTACCTCATAAATTTTATAAGATTTTAAAAATAAAAAGCAACAACAACAAAAAGAAAGAAAGATAAATAAAAGAAATAAAAAAGAACAGCATTGTATTCACATATTTAAACAATGCACCACAGGATATGAAATATAAAATTAGTGTGTAATAGAATATGCGAGCAACAGTATAATAGTAACAAAGAAAGGAGAACAAAAGCTAATGGGAACGATTTGTTAGAGTGCCCCAGTGAGTTGATCGTGTCATACCTAACGGATTTCTCATCACATAACAGCTGTGCCAGATAAGGTATTGTGGAGTTTTGTACTTGGTAGTCCTGGCATATAGCCTCCCATAGTTACTTCTAGTTCTACCAGATGAAATGCAAGGAGAGAGCTGCGTATAGAGAGGGTGTTCGGGGTCTGACAATATAGAATTCGCTAGTTTCTTACATGACATTATATGTCTATCCACAATGGTGTTAACGAAATCCCACTTCCCCTAATAACAGCTTTTAGTGCCCTACGCAGCAAAGCAAAATCTTTTTTAAGTAGTCCAGGAAAGATTAATGGGGAGCAGTAAAGAGGGATGGTTAGAATACAAGAGTTGACAAACTGAGAAAGCAAACACTGCTTTATACCAGACTGCCTTAACTTCCTAATGTAGGACGTTAAGCGAAACATCTTTCTAGAGGACCAGGAAAGATCGGAGGAAATACTAAGTCCAAGGTACTTTACATTAGATGTAATTTCAACCTCTATGCCATCAATGATAGTGGGACAATGTGAGCTTGCTAGTTGTTGTAGGTCACGTTTTCGTCTGAAATTGAAATTTACTACCTGACATTTAGACGGATTCAGCTTAAGACTGTTTGAAGAGGACCACTGACTAATTTCCGAGAGAAAGTTATTTAATTTGTAACAGTCTGACTGAGAGTTGACAGGCATGGAGACAGAGAGGTCATCAGCATACTTGATAAAAGTGGCTACATCAGAATGGGGCAAGTCATGTAAGAAAAGATGTACACGAGGATGATAATTCGTCAACTTCAATTCATTTGAAAAAGTTAAGTTATTAAGCAGCCTTCACAGGGGCAAGCAACTCAATGTAGTCAAAAATAAATTCAAGTCGTCTACAGAACAATCTTAGCATGACTTACTTCTTTTAGCCGGAGATATTTCCTTGCACAGGACGTAGGACACTGTAATGAAATTGGCCAAAGAAAAATAAAAACGACAGTGAAACTACTTAGTTACAGGTGCCCAAATAAAAGACTGATTAGTGTACAAAGGATATTCTTTTTCAAAACTACCTTTCCTCCAGGTTCTAGAGTTATATTCACCGACAGTAGTTAAAGAATCATTGCTATAATCACAATTACTACTAACAAAATGAAATCCAATCAGTTATACCGATAGATTGCAGTTAAAAATAGCACTTGTCAGTGACAAAATACACCAGTGTATAACACTGGAGTGAATATCAGATAAATTTGGGGAGATAACAAAATACAGAATGAATGAATGAATTTTTAGGCTCCACACACAGCAGGTCAAAGGAGGCAGCGTTGGCCACAGCCGTTTCTTTGCCAAGTATAGCCCCAGCTGTTTTAAGGAATTTGTAATGGCCTCTTCTGTTTTGAGTATTTGGTAACTGAGAAGCTTCTAGCGATTTATTTGCCACCCGACAGATCATAGAAAACGACTCTTCAATGTTAGCTTTGTGGCCTGTTTGCAGGAGGAAGTCTCATTTTGAAGTGTTCTTAATATAGATTGATTTAACCATACTGGTATGGGTTCCGATGCACGAAAAATTAATTTTCTAGAATAATGGCTGATATAACTGGCCTCACTGGAGCAGCTCGATTGATAGACCGATAGATAGATAGGTAGATAGATAGAGAGATAGATGCATTCTTTCAGACTAGGAATCATAAATGGCCGCGTCGAAAGTATGCGCTGCAGAATATTATCACTCACAGATGCCCATCCAGTGGTATTCTATCGACTTTAATCGTTCAGTGCTATTGAAAACAGTCATCTTTATTGTCTAACCATGTCAAGAGAAGACAAAGGAGGCAGCATAATGACCTAGTTGTGACCCACGTGAGTTGACTGGAAATAAGCACAGTATCGTCTCCTGAACAAACATAGAACTTAGGAATCATATAAAAATTTACTGCAATACATACAATACAATGTTACATGATACCACTGATAATCACTCACTTTGAAACAACGTCCAAACACACGCCATTATCAGCAAATGTTTCTCAATCATGTTGAATTGAACAGCAAACAACTAAAAATTCACGGCCGTATTTATACTCTACAGGTGGCCGGTGAATGTGAGAACGAGATAAAGAGAGTGAGAGAAAGTGCGTGGGAAATAGGATGCACTTCTCAACATCTAATATAAGAGTGAATTTTGTGTTACGGCGTGCAAATCTCATGTGGAATTCACAACAGAAATTTGAGGACACAGTAACAATTGCTTGTAATTACCTGTATGCCTGTGTAACTACACTGAAACAATTCCCACACATTAGATTTCTAAAATTTTCACATATGTAATGTAGCATTAGATTTCAGTGTTCCCACCTAAAGAGAGAAGTTAATCAGGCATGTGATTGAGTAAGCAAATAACAAAGTGAGTAGGTAAGTAGATAGGTAAGTGAATAGGTAAGCAGTTAAATAAGTAAGTTAGGTAGCAGGTTGGTTAGTTCAAGGTAAACTGGTCAGTACGAGGTTAGATGGATAATTAGGTAGTCCGTTGGTTAACAATTTATTTAATTAATTAAAAAATTGTTTAGTTAGTTAGTAGGTTGGTGGAAAGCTGGTTAGTTTGCTGCATTTTGAGTTAGCCAGTTCCAGCTTAGTTAGACGTGCGTCGGTGGCATAGCGGTTAGGACGCTCGCCGACCATAAACATGGTCCGGAGTTCGATCCCCGGCCACAGACGCACTCCTTTCCCTCACTAAGCCAGAAATAATGCTGGTGAAGAAGAAAGGTTTGGCATGAAGCTAGGAACCCCATCCTGTAAAAATAAACACTGCTAGAGAAACTTCAAGCCACTAGCTTGAAGCTCTATGTTCCACTGGAGAAGGTGAAGGAAAAAGAAAAAGCTTAGTTAGGCAGTAATTTGGTTGATTGCATGGGGGATTTCATCATGAGGTGACATCAATTAGAGAACCACTGGAGTACTGGACAGCTTTTTCGTCCTAGTATAGGACCATTCAGCAGTACGCACTCACCATCAGGGTTTGAACCCAGGAACGTCTGGTTACAAGGCGAGCTAGCTCGTAGACCATTAGTCAGCCACTGGGACCCGATCCAATGGGCCTTGAATTCTAACTTCTGCCAATTCACGACATAGCGTGACCATTTCTCAGTGTCTTCTTCGATGAGTTACTGTCTCAGCTTCAACCTGCTGTGTGTATCCTACTGGTCACGGCTTCTCAATAGAACCCCAAATTAACTGCCTGAATAGAGCCAGTCGTTAGTGAGTATCAGATTTAATTGAGTGATTTGGTTATCTCACTGGTGAGTTGTTTAGTTAGTCAGTTCATTGTTAGCTAGTTGCATAGCTCAGACGCAATTATTTATTTCAAGCATAGTAAGTTAGTAGGTAATGGGTAAATAAGTTAGCTATTTAGTTAGGGAGTGGGTTATCTAACAAATGTTTCATTTACAGGATTTTCATCATGAGCTGACATTTGTTAGAGAACCATTGGAAAACCTGGGAGTACTGGACAGCTGTTTCGTCTTAGTTTGGGACTCTTCATCGGTATGCACCCACCGGGATTCAAACCCAGGACCTTCTGGTTACAAGGCGAGCTAGCTCGTATACCACTTAGCCACTGGGACCCGATCCAATGGCCAGGTCATGAATTCTAACTTCTGCCAATTCACGCCATAGCGCGACCCCTAGCCAATGTCTTCGGTGACTTGCCCTATTCAGGTAGGCAGTTACCTGGGGTTCTAGTGAGAAGTCGTGACCAGTAGGGTGCAGCAGGTCGGATGTGAGGAAAAATACTCGCTGAAGACATTGGCTAGGGGTCGCGCTATGTCGTGAATTGGCAGAAGTTAGAATTCATGCACTGGCCATTGGATCGGGTCCCAGTGGTTGACTAATGGTCCACGAGCTAGCTCGCCTTGTAACCAGAAGGTCCTGGTTTCGAATCCCGGTGGGTGTGTACTGATGAAGAGTCCCAAACTAGGATGAAACAGCTATCCAGTACTCCCAACTGGTTTTCCAATGGTTCTCTAACTAATGTCAGCTCATGGTGAAAATCCTGTAACCAATGAAATCCTTACAAACCAACACTTGAATATAAATGTTTCATTTGTTGGTTCCAGTTTAGTTAGTGAGTTACTTAGTTAGTTGAAGTTTCTTAAGGCAAATAGCCAGTTAGTTAGTTAGTTAGTTAGATAATTAGTTAGTTGGTTAGTTAGTTAGTTAGTGAGCTGGTTAGTTAGTTAGTTGGTTAATTGGTTAGTGACTTCATTAGTCATTTATTTATGCTATCATTTATTGTTTCGTTCAATGTCATTGAGTTAGTTGGTTGATTATTTATCCGTGTGTTCTGTTGGTCAGTTGGTGAGTGAGTTATTCACTTAGTTCAAGCTGTGTCAGTTATTTATTTATTTAATTAAATGGTTAGTAGGTGAGTGTGTTATTTAATTGAGTCAATTCGTTTGTTAATTTGTCGGTTAAATAACTGACCTGGCATAGGTTGTATAAGTAATTAATACTACTTTTTTGCAATCCTCTGTAAATCTGAACACTTTTAAACTCTGTGCTTCTGTCAGAGACGTCATTATTAAACCACTTAGACACAGTATTATTGTCCACTGCGAAAAATGCATGCATCCGTTACTTGTGAATATGTGAAAAAATGCTTCTGATACATGATTGAAGATAGGATAATTAAATTATATGCACCAAATCGGGGTCCTTGAGCAGTACACACCCACTGAGTTTCATACCTAGGACATTTGCACTACAAGACACAGTTGTAGAACATTCAGCCTCTGGGAAGTGATCCAACGATCCATGAATTCCAACTAGCGTGACAGACCTAAATTGATTCAACTTTCTTAGTACACTTCGAAAAAGATCTGGAAAGAGGATGGATTGTTGAATGTTATCAGATCTTAACAGCTTTCCAGATGAAAGGTGCATGTGAACTTACAATGAACACGTCGTCAGTCGCATGTCAACTTGAGATAACGCACCCACAATCACGAAGCACTCCACACTCGGAAATATTGGGAACTATTAAAGGGCATGCGAGGAAATTGCACACACGGCATAGGCTACTCAGAAATAGTGTACCAATCGACCTCGGGTTCCGACTGCAGTGTAGGCCTTCAGCATTTCCTCCCAGAACGATCTTCTCCATGTCACAATCGAAAGAAGACAGTTAGCCAAAACTCGAGTGACAAATCTTGTCCATTATTTCATTCTACGCTGAGAATCGCATCAATTAAATGCTTAAGTGATTCATCTTTACCAAATGCAGCTTGTTCCTGGAGAAGTTCATCATTCAGACCATCTCATAATCTCGTCAGTACAACGGATGAATTTATCGAATCCTAGTTACAAATATTTCCAGATGACTCCCCGACGCCTCATAAACCCTCATTTCTTCCTCACACGATCTCCTCCACGTCACACCAACACCAACGCACAAGTCGTCGTTGTCTATTCGGGTTTAATCTGAGGGTTAGCCTGGCGTGTGATGTCACTAAGCTAAGCTCAAGCGGTTGAACCATCTCCGAACTAGCGTCGTCACCGCAAGTTACTGGGTTTTAAACCTGGTGGTTTTTGTACTGATGGGTAGTCTCAAGGTGGGAGGAAACAGCTGTTGTATACTGGCCGGTTCAAGTGTGTGGAACAATACTCGCTAAGTAAGCGTATGGTCCGGGGTCATATAACCGGACAACACACTCTGAATCACCGATGCCACAGACACTGCAACTGAAATCTCAAACATCAGTCTTTGAGCTCTTCGTTCCACTGGAAAGGAAACGAATAAACGGAGTAAGAATTTCGTGGAAAACTGTTACTCATTGTTCGACGCGTTGGCACACAAGCAAACTCTCATCTCCCAAAATACAAGTGACATGATTCGCCATCCATTTTTAGTGCATCAATACAAGAATGCACTTCAGTGGTAATCAGGTCACCAAGTTCTCTCATTTACTTATTTCTAAGAGGTTTATGGCACTTTAGTGAATTATCCTGTGTTAATCACAAATTAAATTCAAGGTGTACTGTGTGAGAACAGTTTCAGTACACTTAAATGTTTACAGGCAATCAGAATCACGCTTAACTGTATCCTCAGATTTCTCTTGTGAATTTCACGTGATATTTTCACGCAGCAACATGAAATGCACCATCATTGGATGTTGTGAATTGGATTTAGGCTCTCTGTTCCCCACCACTATTTCCAAAATATTCTAATATCACTACTATTTATATTATTATTAGCAGTATTAGTGGTATACCCTTAGGTTATGAGTGGAACCTAGGGCTTCAACAAGATATCTCCATTTCATCCTGTTCTTTGAAGTCCACTTTAACTGATTTCAAGATTGCCTATATGCTCTCTTCGCTTCCTCATATGATAACCTCCATGTAACTCTCAAATTCATGTCCTAGTCACCAATCCCCATCAGAGTTCCCCTCGAGAGATGGCCTCACACAAGACGTCACTCAACGGATTCCTCTACGTTTGTCTGATCCACCTCTATTGTGTTCAGCAAATTGGTTTGGCAGTAGGTTCTTTGTTTCTTTTTGAGAGACATCCTTGTTGCCAATCCTTTCTAACCAGTCATTTGACATCCAATATTGAGAGGGGGAGACTGTTGTTAATAGAGGTCTCAAGTTGCCAACTGGAAATGCATTCCATGACTTGCTCACCTTTCAAGCACACAGAGTAACTGGCACACTTGACACTACAGTTGGGAAGCTGATTCTTATTCGTTATGCCAAGTGCAATGCATTTACAGACTGATTTCCCTGTGAATCAGGTTTGACTCGCCTTCCTGACCGTTGATTTCACAATCCAGTGTGTGTCAAACGTATTTCGAACGATACTGCCTAGATCTTGATTTAACAAGGAATAATAACATCGATGACAAGATTATCAAGCAATTTTCACCAACTATACAATAGGCTCAGTGTTGTGCGGCAATCACTTTTCGCATGATTTCACGTAATTTCAAAAGGATAATTCCTGATCTGGCTTCTTGAGGTATGACATAACTCAAACAGTCTATGT